TTGCGTTCATCGTTAGCAATTCGTTCACTTTATTTTCAATGCAATTTTTTGACGTTAATATTTCACTTGTTTTTTTTTTTTCAATTTAATTTCTTTGTTTCTCTTGCACTTATTTGTAGTCCTGTCTGATTTTGGGTTTGTTTTTCGTTTGGAACACGCAACAAAAGCAGCCTTAGCCGATTTTCGTGCAAGGATATTTAAATTTAATCAAATGTCTGTAAAAATGTTTACCATGCCTCTTATGCCACAACAACACTTTACGCACATAAGAGTGGGTGTGTTTGTGTGTGTGTGAATGGAGGTGTCTGTATGTGTGTATGTGTGTGTGTGTGGCACAACCTGCTTTTGGTACGTTGACTGGGTAATTTGTTGGCCGCACTAAAGCGAACAGGTCAGGGCAACAACAGGGAAACAGCCAATTTTATTTTATTTTATATAGTTTTTGGCATTTTCATTGGGGGGGCTGAGCTGAACTCTGCGCTCTGCGTGTTGGTACAGTTTTCGCATACCATATACATGTAAAATATATATATATATATATATAAATATATATGGTATATGAGTATAAAAAAAAACCGTATTTACCTAGGGAAAGCCTGGAGTCGAGTTGGAGCCGTGAGTCGCGTGTTGTTTGCGCCCGGGGTGTCAACCAATTTCGCGTGTCTCTCTTGCCCCACTCTGTCGCTCGCTCGCTCCCTTGCTCCCTCACTGTCTCTCTCTCTCTTTCGCTCTCGCTCTCTCTTCCCTCTCGCCATCTCACTTTGTCCCTCTGTTTGTTAGCAAAAGTTGTTTTTGTTGGCGCTGTTGTATTTATATACTATATTTTCACATTGCCATTTCAATTCAATTCATTTCATTTATTTATGCAATATTTTATGTGCTCATTCATTCATTTTATTTTCTCTCGTTTTTTCCTTCTTGTTTTTTTTTGGTTTTTTCCTCGTTTGAGTTTTTTCTTTTCTATTTTGTTAATTTGTTGTCGCTCGGTTCCGTTGTCAATTTTTTGTTAATGTACATACATACAAATGTATATATTATATATATATTGTATATATAGACAAGTCGTGCCATAAACCCCATTCATCTTAATTTGTTTTACGGTACGTTTTCGTGCTTTTGGTTGGATTTTTATTATGATTTTTGTTGTTGGGTCTAATCGAAGGAAGAAGCAGAAGAAACGCATAAATCAATTGTGTATTATAATGAAAATCAACTATCCAGGGATATTACAACTACTTACAACCACTTACAAGCCACAAGAACAATAACAATAACAATAAGAATAATAACTACAACAACAACAACAACACACGCTGTAAATAAAGACTCCTTCCTCCATCTCTTGTACAGATATATTTATTGTGTTCGTTTGTTTGTTCGTTTGTTGATACTTCTTTTTTGATTTCGAATCATTTTTGAAAACTGTTGTTTGTTGTCACCAATTGAAAGCGCTTCGATTGACTCTTTTGTTTTTGGATAATACCTAAATAACTCTTTGTACATGATTATTATAATTATTAATGTTTATAAATTAATCCACTGCTAACAAAAAACAAAAAACCAAAAAAAAAAAAACAAAAATCATCATTACGTGAAATCATCGCCTCAATTTTGTACAGTTCTCCTTCAATCATGAGCGAGTGAAGTTTCCTCAGTTTCGGCACCGAACGAAGCTTAAATATGATTTCCGGAATGGGTCCATTTGCATGATCTTAGTACGAATTCTCATTTATCATTAACAAATCTAGTGGTTATCCGATCTGATCAATCTGATCTGTTGCCCTCAATCTAAATACATTGTAAATACGTAGTTGTATCTTTCATTTCACAACTATATATATATATATAATATATATATATATTTATTTTTTATTTTTAATCTGACTGCCTCGGCCCGCTTCTTTGGAAATCATATTGCAAATGCATAAACAATTATTTTAAAAACGGTTTCGTTTTCGGGTTTCTTCATCCATTATTCATTTTGTCCGCTCCCAAACTATCCCTCACATATTTCCCGAGTTTTTTCATTTGTCACTTAAGAACTTTTTGTTTTACGTTTAAAATCTGAAATCTCGAAACACATTTTGTATAATAAAACGCAAATACTCTCATAAATTTAATTTTAGTTATTCTCTGTCAACACTTTGTTTTTGTCGATTTGGAAGAACAAAATTTAGAGGATTTCAGCTAAATTACAACAAAAAAAAAAAAAGAAACATTTTTTTCTATCTCGTGCTGTGCGTCTCTTTGCACTTGCCAAATAAAATTAAAAAAAAAAAAGAAATACCAACAAAAAAAAGAATACGAAAAAAATGACAAAGAAAAAGAAAATAAATAGATGCAAATTATATACTTATACATATTTTGTATACATATTGTACATGATGATAAAATGTTGGGATGGGCTGCCCGGTGACCGCTAGTATAATTGTCTCTCATTTATCAATTACATGTTGTACTTTCTTCTTACTACATTCTACCTAACCTAACAACCTACTACTATTTAACTACTACCCTACTACTATTTGTACTACTACTACTACTACTCTATTCGCTCTATGAGTTCACACCTTATCCCAAAACCACCAAACCCCCCACCCCAAACCCCAACCCCAAAACCCTCCGTGTTGTTGTTTCCTTTTTAATAAACATATGTGTGTGTCCGTGTTTGTACCTTTTAGTTAGTCTGATACTGTTCTTACGTACTTTTTTTCATTTTCATTTATTATGTTTCTTTTGTTTCTGTTTTTTTTTTCCTTTTTGTTGTTTTTTTTTTCTTTTTTCTTGTACATAATACTAAATGTGTGTGTTAAATTTAATTAATGTAATTTCAACATGAAACTCAACAATTTCTGCTCTCGGTTCTTCATAATTTACATTGTCCTTTTTCGGTGTGTACTACTCCTAATAACTACATACAACTAGATGTGTGTGTCTCATTTTTCATTCCGTTCGTTCTAAGTGTTGTTTGTGCGTGTGTTTGTGTTTGTGTTTGGGCTACAACTGTATTATAGTCCAGCTATAAATATTACACATACATTTACCAATTTACATACGTGTGCGCCACACATACTCCAAATACAAATACAAAAAAAAAAAAAAAAGAAAGAAATTAATTTCAACTACATACGAAATTATTATACATAGTTTATCTTTTATGTCTGTGCTGTCGTATTTTTGCCTTGTCATGATATACTACGCTTCTCGGTAGTAGTTGTTGCCAACACCAACATTAACCAGTATAAACATACCACACACACACACTCACACACACCTGAAACACCACCACCACGCCCTAAACAGCGCCTTGTTATACCATTTGCTTTTCATCAAGTGTAGTTGCTACTTAATTACAATCGTTACTCAAGAGCCGGTCCCAGACACACTCGCAAACACACACAGACAAACATAGACACACACACACACACATAGACACACACACACAAACATAGACACACACACACACAGATATAGACACACACATATGTGTCCTGCATTAATTCTGGCTTATAAAACTTTTGTAAGACATTTTGTTGATTTCTTGTGTTTATCCAATTTTCATGTATTTTCCAACACTACTCTGCGTGTGCTTGTTTTCATTTTTAGTTATCGCTGTAGTCAAATTCAAAACGCTCCAAATTGTTTGTTGTGCCTATTTAGCTGTAAACATTTTGTAATACATATTTACGACTATGCCTGTATGTTGGTTTTTAACCATATCTATATTATTATATAACTGAAACGGATATAAGTTACAATCAAAAAAAAAAAAAAAAAAAAAAGCGAAAAAAAAACAAAACTCCAAAATTGCTAAAAAGAGAGGACCCTTTACCAAAAATATCAAATATCAACGACTGTATTTGCCAATTGCAAATCGAAGTACTCTTTAATTATTTTTAGCATACGAGTATAAATACTTTTTTTTTTCAATTACAATTACAATTTTTAAACTTATGTTTGTTTTTATGTTCATGCTTGCCCTAGCAACAAAAACAAAAAAATAAAACTACTTTTATGGCCACAGAGTTAACCAACAAAATTTTCCTTTGCCTTGTTGTTCTTACTTTCCTTTAGGTTTGGTTTGGTTTGTCTGCTCGAAGAGAGCCAGAAAGACCATGTGTTCTTTTTTTTACTCTCCATATTTTTAAACGTGTTGTACTTTTCAGTTTATATATATATTTATATATATATACACACACACAACAGTAAAGCAATGCAACCCAGCCAAAAAAAAATAAGAAAAAACATGAAAAATATTGGGCATTGTCTGAGCTGAAAGAAAAAAGCAAAATAAAGCAGAAAATACTCTTGTCTTTTTGATTTGAGTTTGTGTAAACGTTATGCGCCTCATTTCTTACTTACTTTAAACACATTTCAACAGAAATTGTTGTTGTTTCTCATTTGTGCCGCACTCGAAACTGCTCTGTGCAGCTTCACAGCAATAGCACCCAAGCGACATTTCTGCTGATGCTGAATGCTGATGCTGATGATGCTGATTTCAAGTATCCATTTTGCCATTCATTTTGCGCAATTTTCTCAGCAGCGCAACATCAACGAGCGGCCACTTAATTAAACAAATATCTGTGCAATTTAAATGGCATTCTTGACGACGTTGCAGCGCAGACTCAGAGACGCAGAGTCGGTTGGGGAGGCGGGGCGCAGCTTCCAGTGCGGTGCACAAAAATAATTTAAACAAAAACAAAAAGAAACAAAAAACCTTTAGACCTTTGTAGAATTGTCTTTTCATTTAATCCTAAAAAGAAAACAAAAAAATTAATACAAACTCACCTAAATGTGTTGCTTCTATCTAACTAACTAAACTAAACTATCTACTGACTATTCTGTACTATATATCCCAACTATTTACAACTCCCTAATTTTCCAATTTCAAGTACTACTTTCCTATTTTAATGTGTGTGTTTCGTTTCTTTATGTGTGCGACAACCTGTTTTAGCGATTTGCATTAATTGTATTTTTATGTGTGCTTTTAAAATAATCATGTCCCCCAGACTTTTGCAAGGGCCGTGAGACTTTACAGAATCTCTGCGATCAAATACCGGGCGATGCTCTGCTCTATTCGCTGTTCCGTGAGAGTGCCGAACCGGTCAAGTGTCCGCTAAAGGGTAAGTTTTTTTTTATTATCCGTAATTGCGACAACTCATTCCACAAGTGCAATTAACTGAATGCTGCAATCTGCAATCTGTGCCAGGTCCCTTCATCTTCACATATAATCGCGGACATGGCGAATGCAAGTCACCAGTCTCAAATATCGAGAGCTGCACCGAGGAGAGTCGCCTTCTATTAAGTTTTCAGGCCTGCCCCGATGTGCAGGGCACCGAGAGTACGGGTAAGTCACCAAAATTAGATTGCTTAGTCTACGAAGTTATTGAATTTGAATAGCCGTCTATCCTGATGCTGATTCTCAGTTCTACTAAAAAGAGTATTTTGTTCAATTCGCATTCGCAGTTGAGGAATTGACCTGTTTGGCGACCTGGAAGGATGGCAATTCACGCTATTTGGTGGGACTGGTGTCGCATCATCATGCCATTTCGAATGAGGAGCGTTATCGTTGCTTTGTTTACGAGAAAATCTCCTCGCTGATGGGTAAGCAATCTGCCAGACAAACAACAGCTGAAACATTGTCTGAGCCCCTTATAACCCTTGCAGGTGGCCCCAGCATGCTCAGCTCCAAGGATGCCGAGTATAAGCTGGCACAATCCGGCGACGCCACTTGCAACGGCTTAGACAGCGCCGAGGTAAGGCAACCAAACACTCAACACTCACCCAACCCAACCCAACCACTACCACCCATCCACAAAGCAGCCCCATTACAAGAGCTTTTCACTTAACTGCTCCCTTTTTTCTTTTCTACTTTTTTTTTGTTTTTGTTTTTCTGCTTTTTTCTGCTCAGGTTGGTTCGCGTATAATGTCGTTGCGGAAACCGCCAGCGGCTGAGCGCTGCGATTTTCCCGCCTGGTTCAAGGGTCCGCGACACTGGCATGCACTTATGGGCAATGCCGTCTACAATTATCATTCCAAGTGAGTGGCGACACAGTCAGTGTGCCGATGGCGTCAGTTGAAATACTGACGTCTCTCTGACAGCCAATAAAAACGGTTCCAATTTTCTTTTACAGCGATGGCTCTGTGCACATTATTAAGCCCAACGGCTATATGGAGACACGTGCTCTCTGCGAACAGATAAACAAACAGACCTCAACCGAAATGATGGCTGTGGTGCACTACACCACCGGATGGTAAGTAAACAGAATAAGAAATCAAACCGTAACCGAATAACCATGACTCTTACTCTTGCCTTGCCTTGCCGTTTGCAGCCAATCGGGTTTTATGTGCATGATGTTTTACCGTCGGGACACGCACGTCATTGAGATACAAACAGGCAAGCCGGCGATTCGTCTGGAGGATGCCTGTGCCTCGGATCACTTTGACTTCAATAAGATGGCCTACATAACGCTGCTCGGTAAGCCACGCACCGCATCTGTTCACAGCCAGCAGTAGTATGTGTCTGGTTTTTACAATTCTCTCTTTGTCCTGGTCTCTCTTTCAATAATAGCAAGTAATCCGGAACCGCATATTTGCCCAATGGAGGGCCTGTACAATCTGCGAGGCGCAATTGGGCCGCCCTACCTTGTCACGCGCCACAAGCGCAATCACAATGGCAAATCGCATCTTGGACATGGCCATCATCATCACAGCGAATCGGTTGGCTCAGATTCCGGCTCATTTGGCCACAAGGGGTATAGTTTGAACTTTTTGAAACAAACACACACACACACATGTACACACACACAGTCCTTCTACAGTTGTACTCTTTATATATGTTACAGTCACAGCACACTAAGCTTTCGCAATGCCGAGCGAATGGAGCGCAGCTCCTGGCATGCCAACACACGCGGCCTGCCCGTCCGCAGTCGACGCAATGCACCTCCAGCACAACAGCAGCAGGATCAACATCATCAGGAAGCATTGGTTCTGGGCGGTCTCAGTAGCAACGATACCAGCGTGGGATTTATTGCCACACGAAGTCGTCGCGACGTTCCCGGTTGTGTGACCAATTACAATTCACAGCGACAGCTTTGGGTTGGCTGCAGTGCACCGAATGTTATCGATGTGAGCCCACTGTGCACCGTCGATGGTGAGGAAGGTGAGTGCAGCAAGTGGCGACTCTGGCGACAAATGCAGCCACGACTAATGTTTCTATTGTTCTTTGCAGAATACTCGTGTCACGGGTCGTGGAACGAGAACAGCACTGTCTATATTATAGCACGGCACAAGGGCACCAAGCACGGTGTCTGCATTAGCTACAGACCAACGGAGGGCAACGCAGCCAAGTTGGTTGTGGGCGATGCCTGCTATCGCGGCACACAGAAGCCCCCAGATCACCATCTGGTAGCCAATCTGTCTGTTTTTGGTGCGAACTTAAATTTTTGCAAAACTTTAGCGAACATTTTTTATATAACAATTTGTCTTTCTTCAGGTAAATGCGGCGAAACGGGCTCGAGTGCCAGCACAGCTCACTTGGCCAACTGGCTGCTATTGTTGACCATGTTGACGTGGCTGACGTTGCAGAGTTGAGTTTCTGAGCAACACAATATTTTGGGAGTGCACAAATTATACAATTTCACACTATATGCAACACTAATCCCAAAACCACAACCAAAACTCCCAATATGATGATGAACATGTATACAAGACACACACTTAAGACTTATTGTACATTTGCATATTGTATATGTAAGGCGTTAACGATTCAAATATGTTTTGCTGTATATAACTAATTTGTTTATCATTTATATTTAAATGAGCACACCTTTGTTTTGTTTAGTTTTAAGTGCTGATATTAAACTCGACATATTATATTCAAATGGAAAACAATATTCAATGGAAAAGAAACAAAAAATGGTTTGCAATAAAGCCTTAGAGCAAGCGCTGTTTGTATTAGGCATAGTAAAACGCGCCTATTTGCTAAATATAGCGCTGAAATTTAAATAAATATAAACATATGCAACAAAAAATGCTATTTATTTATATGTAATACAATTATGCAACAAAGAAAATATTAAAAACAAAAAAACAAAAGGAACAAAAGTAAAAAGCGCAGCAAGAAAAATTATTAAGCAAAAGACAAACAACAAAATAACAACTACATATACGAATAGGAGCTAAAAGCTTATTATTCTGTATGCTAAATAGTGTTCGATGCATTTATTTTTCTATATCATTTCCAAAATGTTTCCTACAACAAAAGTACACACACAAACAAAACAAGAAAAAACAAAATACTTAATTAATAAGATGAGAAGAAAACAACCACTTTCTAGCAACTACGTATGTGTATGTGAAAGATTTAATTAGTTTTCGTATTGTTTTCAAATTGTACAAAAGCAAATGAATAATCCACATGGCGTACACATGTATTTAGATGTACAGTGCAAAATAATACAGAATAAGCATACCTATACATACTACATACATATATATATATATACATAATAATAATAATAACATTTTGCATAGGATCACATTGGTTTCATAATACATAATTAATACCTTGCAAAAGATACATAAATACATGCATACATATAGACATATATATATATATGTATATAAACACATATATATGTATATATATATATGTATATTGTATGATTCATTATAGCTACAGACATAGCGCGAGCATAAGATAAAGTAAACTGAAGAATTCGATCTTCAAAACTTTAATAAGTAGCAGCACTCACGTTCATAATCAATCAACTAATTTCTAAAGACACACGACAACCAACCAAACAAACAAAGAGAACAATGAATCAGCAAGAAATGCTAAAATAATTAGAGTGTTTAAGGCAATTAAGCGGTGATATAGGTCTAGAATAAACAAAACAACTGTATAAAGCTCTTACGAAAGCGCAACAACAGCAACAACAAGAACAGGCAGGCAGGCATTGAAGATAAAAGATAACGATAGAAGATTGTATCCAAAGGATTTCAGAAACTAGCATTTTCCCTCGATTACATAGCGATTAACACAAAACATTTTTGTCCTAATTGAAAAAAAAAAAAACAAAAAAACAAAACAAACAAACAAATAAAGAAACCTTAAACGAAAATGAAAAACCAATACGGTTTATAAAGTAACTAACGATTCCGAAGCCTCTTCAAGGTGCATACATAAATAACTAGTCAAAATTTATAAGGCGTTCCCAACAAAAAATAAATTAAAGAAAAAAATAAAAATAAATAAAACAAGAAAAAAAAATGAATTAAGAATAATGAAAATAACAAAATCCATGTAAATAGCGAAATGTTATGCGAATTGATTCACAAATTTCAAATTGTACGCGGTGTATACATATGTAACTAATTGCTAGTTAGCTAAAAGTATTGAGCAAGTGAAAAATAACTACATACTATACATTAGGCGAAACGCTGGAAGAGCATACAAAGTGGGCAAACTGAATATAAGAGTTACTTTATAAGTACTACGTATATATATTTCAAATATATAAACTTCAACTGAAGAACAGCGAAACAAACATAAGTAGTTAGTGGAGAGTGCGTTACACTAAATCGCAACACAAGATACAAAGAGGGCAAACAACAACTCGAACCATTCAATTTCCTTTACCACCCATACCACCTACACCCCTCAACCCCTTCACCATCCCGCATTCACGTAATATCAAAGAAGAGGCACTCAATTGAGCTCCACAAACCCGGACAAGACAAATCAATAAATAGCATAACATTGACATAATATGGTTGGTTATATGTGGCACCAGCAGTCGGAGGGCAACAATTAATATGCATACATATTTTTGAGTGGTACCTATCAATAAGTATTTCAATTTGTTGTCAGCTTTCACTAAGTAAAGATATGTAAAACCAAGAAGCAAACGACACACTAACAATTAAAGCGAGAATGCATTTTAAGAATATAAGACAAAACCATACGGAAAATCAATTGACACTCGAAATAATATTGAAAATTGTCGAATGGACAAGTTTTAAGCGCATCCCGTCAAAAATAAAAAAAATTTAATCTGTATTATATTTGTTTATCGCTTAGCTATTTTTGTTTTGCAATTGTTAAGCTAAAACACTTTACGAGTCGATGTTCCCATTTACAATTGTGGTCCAACTAATTCCAGCCACTTTTCCATCTTTTTGTTGTTTCTATCCTTTTTTTGTTTTTTTTTTTCACAGTGTAAACGTGTTATCGATGTTCCAAAAAAAAAGGTCTCCACAAATGTATTCGATGTTTCTCAAAACTACATAAAAATAAAAATGAAAATATAATAATGCAAAACATACATACATATTTTTGTAAATAGTTCAAATGCAATGCTTGAATTTTTATCCAATTTTTGTGTATTATGGCCTGTAACTGCAAAATCTTGTGTAAGAGGCCACGCCCACTCAAATTGCAGGCGTGGACTCCAATTTGAATGTGAACGCTAAGCATTTAGAGATAAGTGATTTTTATATTCAAAAAGAAAACGATTTTATAAATCATTTTAATTGTCTATTTTAAAGCAAAAGAGCAAGATGTAAAACAGAAACAGAAATTAGTAACGCAATTAATTTAGTTGATGTGTGTGAAAACCTTCTGGAATTTTTGTCAATAATTAAATGTTTTCGAGTCCTATGTTCATAAATTAATTGTTTCAGTTTTTTAAGCAAATATAAATAAAAATACAAACTAATTACAAATATAATTACAAATCGTTTGACTCACCTCTTGATATGAAAGCAACAATAAAGAAAACTCATTTTAATTCCATTGTGGGATTACAAAGTTTATTTAAAAATCATTTTATATATTTATTTAAATGAAAATGTACTAATTGGCATCTTGGGATGATATTAATTTCCTGGGACAGATCTTTATACAGCTAAACAGGTCACAGCAAGTCGTCCAAGAAATCTTGTTGCTCTCTTCAGACATCAGGCGGCAGCAGTTGAAGGGTCATCAGCTCCAGACTTCTTCGGGTTTGTTGGTTTATTGAATATTTTATCTCTTTGTTCATATATTTGGTGGGTGAGGTTTTTTTTTTTTTTTTGTAGTTTAAATACCAAAAAGGAGTGTTTTATTTTCTGGGGGAAACGCATCTAAAACCTCACCCGAAAACTAGATGCATTTCATTAGTCGTACGACATTATTGAGTTGGGAAAGAAACTAGTTATAGATAGACTTGCATATTGAAAAACATGCATGTGTATCTATATGCCAATCGATTAAAAAAGTCGACTATGGTTTTATATAAAAAAAATAAAAATAAATGAAATAATTGTGTATTTTATATAGTTAAATTATTTTAACATTTATGAATAGTATTTTTATATATGCTGCATATATAGTGATTATAAAATATTATCAACGGATATGTATAAATAAAATAGAATAAAATAAAAGGGGATTTTAGTAGTTACGGTTAAATACTTTGTTCAACTTAATTTTGTAAAGGAAATTAAAGAAATTGATATTGTATCAGTGTTGGAGTTACAAAAGTGGGAGCAATTACTTTTTTTTTTTTAAATCTTAATGATTTCTTGACATTTATGAAAGATACAATGTGAGACAGCGCATAATAATTAAAGTTTTTGAGAAACGCATCAATAAAACAAACCGTAAATAATTGTCAATCATATTTGTGAACAAAGGTTAGGTGAACTAAATAAAGGAAAGGAGGAAAAATAAATATAATATTCATACGTAGCTTTCAAACTATTATTTTATATTTAATATATTAATTAAAATCAGATAACGGAACGAAGCTTTCATATTTTTTGTTGCGAATCAACGCTGTAGAGAGATAAGTTGTCAGCTTTAAAGTTTCTGTTTATTTTTTCAATTAGCAGTAATTTTCATTCATTCTCTTCATATATTTTTAGTAGTATTTGTCACAAATTATACTTCATTAATTTAATTGTTGACTTGAGCATGTCGTCTTTTACTTGTATTTACTACTGAATATTTCAGACTTCCATATAAGCATATAGATTAGTTGAGAATTCAATAGTCATGCATAGAAATCAGTTGTATTTAGGAACCAGAAAAAATTGCGTTTTTAGGGATTCTCAAGCAGAACGAAAAAAAGTATAACTGAATTAAGCCGAAAATATGATTGAAAAAATAATTGGGATTAAGGAACCATGTTAAGTGAAATTTTGTTTTTTTGGTAAGGGTAAAATGTGACTGTAAAGGTGTAAGAGTGCCATATTTCCATGGTGCTAATTGAAGAGCAAACCAAAATTAGATATATGTAATTGTAACTCGAAACTGAAAAGATTTTATTTTAGCAACAAACAACTTATATTGAGATAATAATATAAGTGAAACAAAGTAACAACTCTGGTATTATATATAAGGGTTATAAATGGCTTCTGTATAAAGAACATAAGACGTTAAGCCTATCAAATAAAAGAACTTTAAATTGTATATTCTATGATTCTAAATTTAAACTAACTTTCCATATAACTATCCTTTCACGGAAGATTTCTCTCGTTAGTCTTATATAAAACCATACTCAATTGCCTTTAAGCTTTTAGGATTCATATCACTCAGTACACTCAAATAACTGTTTTCGGATTTTCAAAAAGTTGTTATACCCATTATTTTTAACACATAAAAAGACGCAATATTTTATATTCTAAGAATATAGACGCAATTATTTTATGAAATTATTTCATCATATTTTCACATCATTAAAATTAAACGTAGACTTTGTAAATCACCTGTCCTAGAGAAGGATTCTGGCAGAACTTAATTCCAATTAACACATACACAATTCTCGTTATTTTAAA